ACTGTTGTTTTATGGTTGTACAGTTGTTGGCCGAAGCAAACATCACAGGATTTACAGAATTAGAGAGAAGCATGAAAGTTTACATTGAAGGTTTAGTTGTTCACAGTTTGCTACAGTTGTATTACAAAAAGTGACAGGAGTAAGATATTCTGATGGAATGTAATAAAGGATTTATATTTGAATTACAATAACGGTGTATAGCCAAGAATAATGTGTCAATATGTTAGCTGACTCAAGACACATTTTAATAAGCAAAAAAGGTTTTATTCAAAGTATTTTCAAACAGACCTTTTTCATGACTGTTAATTACTTTTTTTTAACTACTACTACTTCGTCTACTTTATCATAAGTACAAACTTGGGAAGTTAATATGTAATGTCCAACCAAAAGAAACAACACACAAAATAATCTATTTAAATTTATACTCAGCAGAACAACATCATTTCACTGTTGGGATTCCTTGGAGATGACGAATGCCTCTGCCTAACTAACAGATTATACAGATGTTGGTTGTCAGGGACAACCCTGATTTAAAATATGCAATCACAAGCCGGGAAATGTCCGAAAATTAGAAATTTAACAAGTATTGAGGGAAAGAAGCAAAAATAAGAAAACAATATGACATTGAGGAAGAGTAGGATGGCATTAATTCCCCATTCTGGACGCTACTAATGAAACCCTTTTAATGTTATTCATGAGTTTTCCTACTGTGCCTGTAGTCCAGATATGGACCTGCCATCTCATCCCGCAACATCTGACAGAGACTCTGAAGAAACACTGAAAAATGATGAAGAGAGAGGAGGGGGTTGATTCAAGGAAAGAGGGAACTTGGCTGAAGATGAGACGGCTCTAGAATCGACTACTCAGCATGAAAACAAGCTACTCTTAAAAAACAAGAAAAAAAACTGATATAATTATGCCGCAGAATGCTTGTGAATGCTTGGAAAGTGAATCCCTCAAATACTTTTTTTTTTTTTTGGCAGATTTGGCCCGTTATTACATTAATCTATTTTCAGTATGTTAAATCAGTGTGCATAACTATGATACACTTAACAAAGGTGCACATGCTGCTGGAGCTTCGAGTTGAGTCGTCTCTGTATTTGAGTCATGAAATAAAAAGCCAAGAACGTGTGTTACTGCTCCTAAACTAAATTATTAAACAGTCAATCCAAAGACTCTTGGCTGTACCGCTGAGCCAGAGGATAAAACAAGGTTTTTTATTATTGTGGTTGACAGTAAAATATTTCAGAGGGCGGTTTCATTCTCTCATGGCATGTGTCAAGGCAAATATATTTATGTACCATGAATTGTCTTGCAGAGTGAAAGTTTCCAGTTATTTATATTCAAAATTAAACTCCTTAAGGCCAGGCTGAAAGCGACATAACTGATACCCGCATTTGGTGACCTTGTTTCCATTTTTTTCCCCAATTTGATTATCTTAAGTATTTTAATGATTATAGAAATAGATATAATCATAAAAATGCTCAAATCATGCACACAATCAATTGACTTATAGATTATCATTTGTAGATATCTTATTTTAACCACATTTCAATCTGGACCACCAGACTCATACGATAATTAACCAATACTGAGTCCAGATTAAACCAAAATAAGTATAAATGACCTTCTGCAGGTACATGCCGGTGTCCCATCAGCTGATTTTCTTAAATAAGTCCAAATCTTTCTGTTTTATGAAGATACATTTGGATGAACAATTAATCTTTGAGGCAGTGTATGCTTATTAGTTCTCATCACAGTTAAATAGGAATTACCTTGAAAATGATTGGTTATATTCCTGGTATTACTTGCTCCAGTATAATCAGGGTTTATATTGCATAAAAGCTTGTGTTTGCACATGCTATGTTACACATGTACTTACTGCAGAGTTAATGCCAGCTGCAGCAATGTTCCGGTTACTTCATTAGTTAACGCCACACTATATACTTTGGTATCTGCAATGATAAAGATGAACTCAACTAGAGCATGCTGGATGCTGAAACTGAAAGAGAAGCTGTTTGGCCATCTAATAAACTTATAAAATACTTGGGATAGAATAAAAGTTTCTCAGATGCAATATGGCAGCTTTTTATGAATCTGCTATTGTAGACGAACAGGATTTGTTGTGTGGCATCAATGACGGCCACATCTGTTTCAGAAGTCACAATTTTCTCGATTATTCTTTTAAGGTGAAGCTCACGTGATTATGTTTTTACCACAGCAATAAACACATATGTGGTAAACAGATGGTGTCCAGTTTACTCCATAGCTACTGAACACGTACAAATCCTGTAGCTTCCTGATAAAGATACAAAGTAAAAAGGATGGATCTGAGAATGGTTTTCTTGTTGTCAGGGGTCTCACTCGGTTTATGTGTTTAATAGGACTTAAACTTTCTAGTTTATGAGAAAGATTGCATTTAAATTCTCCATGTTTAGGTCTTATCTGTTGTTTTTGCTCCATATCTAAAGCTATGGAAATGTCTCTCTTAATCTGTGGGTGACTTTCCTGTTTCTGATGGATCTCAATGTGACATGAATAATTGTGTTTTCATCAGGCAACGTTATAAACTTACCACCAAGATCGAGGCTGGAAAAGGTCGTTGCAACTCATGCCCAGTGGCAATGAAATCTATGAGACAGATGGTGAAGAGAAAGGCTTGGTGAACAGGAGAGAAGGGTGTTTTTAAAACCTTCTGCACGTCTGCTGCCTCCTTGGGCCAAACACAACAGTCGTGTCTTGAAATGCACAGATTGAGACACATTTAATCTTTGGTCTTAATCTAATGAAAAGAGCCATAGTTTGTCAGCTAAGCCTAAGTGGGCTAATGTAATATCATCCACCATAACGTGTATACCACATTTTGGGTGTATGCTCATATTAACATTCATTTTTCAATTCAATTATTACTAGATAAGAACTTTTACTCTATATTGTCTTCCTTTTACCTATTTATAGTAATCCATAAAGATTTGTTGCTATTTATTCCAAAAAACCTGAAACCTGAAAAAAAAAAACGTTACCCAGAGATAACTTCAAGATGGCAGTGTGTGTGTGTGTTTTTTATTTTTTTGACAAGTATAATGGTGGGTCTTTTACTGTGCTGTGCTTTTGCATCCTGAGGCAGAATGTATAAAGTTTTTCAACTTTTTAAAGATGCTTGACAAAAATATCCATTATTCACCTACATTTCCCCCAAAACATCTTGATGTTCACAACAATGTTTGGAAAATATTCTATGTTGTGATGAGAAAAAGTGGAGGTGGACATCATTATGATCCTATCCTACTGTACTACACATTGCAGCAAACCACTCTGTTATTCTGTTTGGTTTCATTTTCTATTCTGTTATCTTTTACTTTTTCAGTTCTTTTTTCATTATTACTGTAGCGGCACTCCAGCTCCTTTAGTGTCTTCTGTACCGCATGGAAAAACAGCCTAGCCACAAGAAGTGAAATGTTAGCAATTCCAGATAATGTTCTTCAACTTCTGATGTTTATTAAAAGAATTCCAGATAATGTTCTTCAATTTGTGATGTTTATTAAAAGAAAACAAAAATAAGAGAATATCTACATTTGCATAATATAAACTCGATCAAAAACTGTGTTGCTTCCAGCATATCTGTTTTCCCTCAGTCCTTACATACAGTACGTAAAAGCAAAAAAAAAAAAAAAAACACGTCTACAATTACAGCATGCAGGAATCCCAAAAATTAGCATTTCTATATTCTATGCTTTTAATATTAGAGTTTTTAAACTTAAATTCTAATCTTAACAACAAAAAAAATATCAATCTTGTATTTTAACCCTTTTTAAAACTATAAATGATTGTGTTTCAAATTGGCTCTTACAATTAACCTCTTTCATTTTATCGTCTTAAAAACTGAAGGCAAGTCAGGCAGCCAAACCTGAACACAACTTTGCATAACACTTCCACTTGAATAAGTTTTATTTTAAATTTTTCTTTTTAATTAATTATTCGTAGATATTAAATGTTAATGTTTTTTTTTTTTGTGGTATAGTTTATTCTTGCATTTTTTTAACACACACACATGTTCAGCTCCATTACCATTCCTTGCTCTCGATGTGCTGGTAACTCAGCTATTAGTGAACCCTTGACTTTTTCTGCAGCACATTATTAGCAGGAAAACAGACCCTAAATAAACCGACTCAGTCAGTCCTTCTGCTCTCTCCACCAAATAATCCTTGTTTAAAATAAGATACTGCAGCCAATCTAGCCATGTAGATTATTTGCAAGGCTTATGTTAACCTACACAAATACCCACTCAGGGAAATATCCTTGTGAGTCACATCTTCTGTGTGTGTGTGTGTGTTGAAGCGGAGGACTCTTGGCTGTCTGTAATTGGCTGCAGGGAGCAGACAGACTCAGCCTTTGCTTGTTATCAGAGTTGAAGCTAAACTGGAAAGGGGCGGCAGTATCACCCAGACAGACATAGCAGACATAAATGCAAGAGTAGGCACAGTTGTCACACATCATCACTGAGACACATGGGAGAGGTGATTAGCGGATGCAGTGAGGAGAGGATACCTGAATGCATTGTCTTTAAATGGTCAAACGAGAGATTGTGAAGGTCGATAAAAAATATCTGATAGTTGTGCACAATTGAATTAGTTCAGCAAATAAAATAAGAAAGCTTGTTTCTATAAAGAAGGTCAGGGCAATGAAAGAGGTGTTCCTAGGAAGCATGAAGGCTTTAAGGATGACTTGCAGCCAAACAACTGATGAGCTTACTTTATTTTAAAATGAAAATCTGACTTCTCAAACCCACACAGCTGCTTCTACTGCACTACAGTTTAGTCATTAACTCTGAAAATCATCCTTAATAATTTCTTACCCTGGCCTAAATGGTTTTGGTCACATCTAAATTGACATTACGTGATTTCATCTCTGCGAAAATGAGTTATGAAAAGCAGCAATTTTTTCCCTGGAAGTGTCTGTCAGGTATTGAATATATTTTTTTTCCCCCCTCTCCTGTCTAGACGAGAGTCCTTGTTGAGATGTTCTCAGTGCAAAATGGCACGATACTGCAACACAGCTTGCCAGGTAGGTGACTGATTGAGTTTGTGTTTTTCTCGATGTCAGAAACAGCTGAGGATGTGCTTTTAATGAGGATCCCTGGTCAGATTACAAGTACATTTTGAAAATAACAAACTTCAGAAAAGGATTACATATATTTTTCATTTTGGCCACATTTCAATATAGAAACTTTTTTTTTTTTTTTAATTTGTCTGATTTAGGGCTAGCCTGACGTAGTCCGACTCAATTCTAGTCAGAATATGAGTCTGATGCTGCTCCATAGAGCTGTGATTA